ATCCTTAATTTGGGGGGTTGGGGGTTTGCTGTTCCATTTTATTTTGTTCAAGATTGTAGAGCTCTCAACACCCACAGAATCACGTCATGCCACGTGTCTTCTGGGGGGCAAGAGTCCAAGTGTCAAGTTGATGTCTGGCCGAGAAAATAAAGAATTGGCCAAAACCAACCTCTTAAACATGGACAGAATGGTTCTGTCCATAAAAGAATATTCCAGGGTAAATATTTTCTTACTTAAATTCACTTATTAAGAATTCGTGTATCTTCAATGACAAGTTGTCCTTCATTCTTTCAGTCACCGCAAATGTTATTGTAATCGAGAGTTTCACCATAGTTTATAGTAGTTAACTATGGTTTCACGTTGTAGTCGGGCAAAACGAACAACGACAAAGAAATGTCCAAAAAAATTTTGTGCTAATTTAGACCTATTTTTCTTTAACTGTTCTCGTTGCCTTCGCCGTTTACCCGGGGAGTACTTTAGGAATTTCTGGGTGAGGATGTGCCGCTGGGACCCTGGAACCCTTAACCTATACCAGAGCTAGTTGAGCTGAATTTTCCTACCCTATACTAGAGTAAACTCCCCAAATCCCCCCTATCCTAGAGTAGCTGTTTTCCAGAAACTACTGAGGTCACTAGCACAGTCTAGCAAAAACAGACCTTATACCATAATCCCTAATCTGCATAAAATCTTCAACCAACTGATCAGTTTCCTGAAAAATGATACCCTATTCTAGACCCAAACGCTCTGATTTATATACCCTATCCTAGAGTAAACTGGTTGAAAACCATACCCTTCACAGCGGCACATACCTATATAGCTCATATATGGCAATACCCCCCGCCCCCCACCCCCGGGGCCGTTTAGCAGTCCCTTCATCTGACTCGTCGAGAAAGTCCTGGGACTAGATTTAGTGATTCCCATAGAGATGACCCGTTGCGTGTAGGAATGTTTCATGATCATTTTCCTACATCAAAGAACGTCTGGTTTCAAATTTTCCCGTAAGGTTTTTTTAGCTACTTCATGGTATGGAGAGGCCCCATTCCAAAGAGGCAACCGCTCTCCCCGCTATCGTTAACAGTAGCAACTCGGACGAGAGAAAGGACGGGAGATTCGACCGAATGGAGAACCTCGAAGATCGGTTGGCAATCCAGGAGAAAACTACAAGATCCCTTGTTGACAGGGCACTTACTGTAAAAGAAGACATTATTGAAAGCCTAAGCATCGCCCAGATGAGTTGGCAAGGCGAGAAGAAAGCAAGGTCCTTGCTACAGGAACACATACGAACGATAACAACTGTTGTGAAAAGATTGAGCAGGGAGATTGAAAACTTGGAGAGCGAGATTCGGTCCAGAAAAAGTCAAGTGGAAGGACACAGCACAGCTGTGAAAAATTTAGAACTTCATCATGTTGCTGGAGTTACGGATTTGAGAGGCCGTGTTGCAAGGTGTGATTCAGCTATTCAGAGGCTCATGTCAGATATGAGAAGCAACAACGAAGTCATAAACGATTTTAGACAAAAGCAAGAACTTGCAATGAAAGATTGCCGTGATCAAATGAGCTCTCTAGAGAAGAGCATTTCTGATTTGACATTGAAAGTGGAGAAATATGTACTCGATCAGTCGACCAGTATCCAAAAAGTAAAAGGAGAAGCAGACCAGCGTGTTGTACAGCTCGATTCTAAAACTAAAACTGTTGTTGAGGATATTCGAGGCAGTATTTCCTCAAACCGTTTGTGGGCAGAGTCAGAATATTTTAAATTAACTCAGGATTTTCAAACTAGGCTAGAGAGGTTTGAAGGCCTCATGGTGGAAAGACAGGACAAATTGGAAAGAAGAGTAGACCATTATCTGGCCAAGGTAGATAAAATTTTGGAGGAGGAGAAAAGCAAGTATTATAACATCTGGGAGGTGAGACTGAAGGAAGTGAAGTCGGAACAGGACAGGATTATGCATAATTTAATAGCAGAGATGAGAAATGAATACAGACAAGGATTTAACAATGTGCATGAAAGTATTTCCAGTCTACAGCGAGTGATCCATGCAAAACTGAAATTACTTGAAGATGACTTGCGTAAAGCTATAAATAATGTTCTTAGAATGGTTGTACTTGTATGACCAGTTACTGAAGAATGGTAGTGATGGTAAATATGCACCTGTCACAATTCATGTACCGCTATAAATGATCTAATAGATGCCCAGGGCATCTAGTTCATTTTTTGGAGCCCAAGAAGAGGCATTTATTCTCATAACTTTAACAAACACTACAACGAATTTGTTGATTATATCACCACAGTATACAAGGCACTTTCCAGCATTCAGAACTGGACTGCCACACCAGTCCAGTCATAATAGAATTCCACTATTGATCAAGACTTTCCAGCCAGATCAATCTATTCTGTAGGAGTATTTTACAGTAGTGGTGTACTAGCAAATACTCTTGACAAGTAAGCCTATTTTGTTTTAAAAAGATCTATCCTGTCGGCCAGTTCGGACATTTGTTAAGTGTCCTTAGTTTCAATATTCATCTGTGTTCCATGCTGTGCTTTGTTTTCTCCTTCCAGTATGTTTCAATATTATAGCAGTGTAATTGAAGAGAGGGAAAATTTATCTTTTTCCATATTTCCCAAAATAAGCTTCCCCACACAAAGGAAGCAGCTGGGCAGTGTGAAATTGGGTTTTCTGAACATGGAAGCAGGGTTAAACACCCAAAACATCTGTTTCTTCTAAGACATTGATGACACTCTTCGATGATTTGTTACAATATCATCCCATAAGCTATCCGAGTGTGGCAATGTGACTATGAGGGTCCATTTTACGAAAACACACAAACATGGCATGCCTATACACAAGGTAAAACGTTTGGTGATTGAGTGTCACCACAGAAATATTTTATTATTCTAAGCCTATAAGACGAGAGATATTAGGTCAGATGTTATTTATAAAAGAAGAAGACAATTCATTTGAAAACTGAGGTTTATTAAGTTTATTTTTTTCAAACTTCAACAATAATTATTTATAGTTTTCTATTTGGAATGCTCCATTCCTGTATTATGCACATAATTTCAAGGATCTGCATACATTTATCTCACCATGTTAATTAATAAAGGTAATAGGACTGAGTGGACTCCAATTCAGTCTGTAATCAATCAAGTGATTTAACAAAATCGCCGGAGTCCGATTTGTTAATCACGAGTATGATTACAGACTAAATTGGACAAAGTTCTATTACCAGATAATCATAACTATAACAAAATTTGTGAGATTTTACCTTTTTTTCTAATTAAAACACAAGAAATTTCCCAAATTTTTTTCACTAGCAGTGAAAAAAAAAGCCATTTAAGCGCACGCGTGTGACAGCGTGTACAGTCCAATTACTTAGGCATGATGCATAATGCCCTATTACAATGTCCTATTAGTGCTGAAATCAGGACAGTTGATAGCCAATCAGATTTGAGAATTTTGTTATAGTTATGATTAGACTGAAATTATACAGTCAGCTCTCTTTTAACCCTTTGAGTCCCAAAAGTGACCAAAGGTGGATACCTCTCTTTAAGTGGCAGCCAGTCAGTTTGTCCATGCCACACTTCAGTCATTACATTTGACCCTGAAACTTAGTGTCCGGCCCCAAAACTGTCTAAAAAGGAGAACCTAAATGCAAATAGTTGGTAAACAAACAAAGTTCCAGTCCATGAACAAGTTTTGAAATGTTCTACTATTGCTAAACTCTGAAAATGGGCAGCACTGACTTGGTGACAATTTTACTGCCAGTCAGGACTTTGAAAGTCTTGGTAAAAAAAAAAATGTTTGTTACTAAGTTCCAAACCTAACAGTTTCAATCACAGAACTAGGGTATTTGGGCAGTTTATTATTGAATTTCCATTCCATTATAGAGCTAAAAAAAGACTTTTCTAAGTAATAAAGCTTGGGGGAAATTTCTGTACTTTCTTCCACCCCCAACCCCGGCTATCCATATTTAGCTCTCCAGATTTTGCTCATCATATCCTCCTAAAGTTAGTATTGATCAGAATAATAGGGGACTGTAAGTAGTCTATTCCCCCAAGACATAGGCCCAATATAGCACCAATATAGACCAAACAGGGCACCAATGTTTGTTGAATAATACCACTTAAATACAGCCGAAGCATTACATTCATGCGAAAAAGTATTGTTATTCAATTATTGGTGGCACTTATTTCCCATTAGGAACAAATTAGTTTCTGGGAAAATTCATGTAAAAATTCATCTATTCATTATGAGAAGGCTGGAAGAGTATAAAATCAGAAACAGCAATGTTAATTTACTTCACTGGATAAAAGCTGTTGCATTGGAAAACCACAAGACTGTCACAAACTTTTTTGAAATACTATAGAACAGGAGGTAAGACAAGCACACAATGTATGTAGCTGAGGAGAATAATTGCTATTTGCTGCTGTCAATAGCCTTGAATTACTTGATGTGTTACTGCAAAGCCTGTTTGATCTCTTTGACTAGCATGGAGCTAATTGCCATCTTTTCACAGTTCACTGTAATTAAGCTGTCTTTTCCACTGGAGGGTACTTTAACTGTCACTAAGACATGTGTCCCTCCAGATATTGTGCGACCTGCAAATCTGTATGTAGCAGCCCCTTCAGGGAGGGGTGCGGCTCCTATATAGGTAACAGCAGCAGCTTCCTTCACCTTTGCACAGACCTGTTCTTCTGAAGTCTGACTGCTGGGAATCTCAAGCTTTCCAGAACTCTCATTCAAACCACGTAATTTACCTGAAAGAATTCACCAAATAGTAATTAAATTATTTTCTTCTTGAAATCTGAAACAAACATTTAAATAAATTGTTTTTCCTGACAAACCATGGTTAACTAAGATAACTGTATGAGGCAGTGTATAATTTCACCCAATGATAAGAAAGAGATTAACAAACCTTGCTTGGAGAGGAAGTCTGCCTCAGTCATAGGACAGCCTTGTAATAGTTCACCAACTGGAGCTTTGATACTCACTGGAAACTTGCTGCTTTGTGTACTAAAACATCAGGTAATAAAATGTCAACAAGCTAGTGTAGAGTTGTCATTCAATCAATAACCTAATAAAAAGCCACAGAATGACCTTATCCCTGAGATGCACAGTATCTTACACACTGATAATTTGGTAGACTGCAAAACAGTCGGGGTTTTTCTCAAAATCAGTAAAGAAATTGGTAAAGCATGGTATAAGAGTCTTGCACACGCGAAGAGGGCTAGTGTCTATCCCCAGTCTCGCTCTCTGTTTTCAGCCTCGTTCCAGACCCTTTGTTTGACTGCTTGTGCCTACTTGAATACTCAAAAATACAGACTGTTTTGCAGTCTAATAATAATTTTGGTAACCTTAGAAATAGCTGGGATACAAATATGCAAGCCCTCGTACATTATTACACAGAGAAGTTAGTTTATCAGGGCACTATGATAATATTACTACAACCCCAAATAAACGTAATACCTTTAACATAGGAATTTTTCACAAGGAACCTAATGTATTGTAAGTTCAACTGCAAAGATGTAATTAAACAAGGATTTCTTGACTTGCAAAAAACCTGGGTTGTGTGGTGCATGTTGTATCTTATTTTACTTTTGCTAAAAAGAATACAGCCTAAGCGTTTTAAATGATTGACTTATATTATCTTATGTAGTAATTTTATCTATCTTTACCATAAGTTAAACCCAGCAGATTGTGTCGTGTCATTAAAATCAATTCCTAATGTCACGGCAATTGTTGCTCCAGGTCCCAATGATGCTATAAAACAAAATATAATCATAACAATGTATAAGATTCATACTATTTTAAACAGTAATTGAATAATACTTGAAAACAAACCTACCTATTTCTTGAAATTCATGCATACTCATCCCTGCTGCCAATTTCTGTAAAATACCAAAAGTAAATCAGCCTGATCCCAGTTGTTTCAAGGCCAGTTATCCCTAACTTGAGCTTAAACTTGAATCTGATTCCGGTCTTTTTCGTGTGAAAGTATTTTCTTTACAACAGTTACTAGTTCATCACTTCTATTGATTTTAATACTTAAAGGCTATTCACAGTAGAGAAAACAACCCACTCACAGATTCACAGAAAAGATAAATCACTCTAAACACCTTTAAAACGTATCAAAGGTTGACTAAAGCCCACTCTCAATTTAATTCTGTTGTGCTATAAATCAAATTAATTTTAAAGTTTAATCCCATGTTATGAGAAAAGACCTCTCATAAAAGCCAGACGATTCAGTCTGTAGGTGAGACCAAATTCCTAGTATTGAAAAATACCTTCTCGCCCACACATATATTGCCAATTGGTGCTTCTGTATTGTTGACTAATGTTACTTCTACAGCCACCATTTTAGTGGAATAGATACAAGGTCCTCTGGTAAACTTGTAGCTTCCACTCAGCCCTTTGCCTTGCATACGGTGAAGCAGTTCATGTGATTTTGCTGAAGAGAAGCTTGGGCTAAGCTGTTATAAAGCAAAAACAAAAGAGCATAACTGAATGGTCATCATTACTTTTGTGCTTGAATAGAGACCTGACTGTTTGAAAACTGGAGGGAAATCTGGAATACTATGATTATAGTTACAGATAGTTAGCTCACATGTATGTACTGAAACTATACATAACTAGAACCAAATGTTCTGAAGAAATTAAGAAGGTGTGATGACGCTTGATTCCAAATAGCAAGAGGTCAAAGTAATAACAATATTTTAAGATCAAGGGGTTTGATGTATAAAAGCATTAATGGCTGGTGCACGATATACCAAGTGAATAGCAAGTGTCAAGTCACACCACAAAGAATATATCCCTAGCCCTCACACAACAGCACAATAAATTTCACATAATAGAACAACACAAAAGTGCATTTATTGATTTCACCTACATTAATTTAATTTCTGAGTATTTTAAATGTTGCTCAAATACATTAGTTCCTTTACAACTTTAATTCAGTCAATATTATGATACACATAGAGACTTACAGGTGTTATGACAGATGAAGGGACATCATTTGCCAGTGATAAGGACTCTATCTCAGAAGCAAGACTTGGTGATAGGATGTTACTGGGACCTGAACTTACGCTGGGAGTCACTGTCTCACTCACTACAGCAAATTGAATAATATAACCAACTGTTGTGACATATCTTAAACTCCAAATAATATTATTGGGGGTTTGATAGCATGACAGCAATGAGAACATAAAAAAGGCAGTAAGATTAATAAAACAACAACTCTGCACATGCATCACATTTTTAGGTACATTTCTTTACTGTCACTGCACAACTGTGAGGTAACACTGCCTAATTTCATGTTTTATGGAGGAGCTAAACAAATGGCAACAAATTTTTCTTTCTCTTTCTCTTTCTAAACTTGTACATGGTTCTTAGGAATTCGACTTCAGGACAGTTTACCAACAATTGAAAACCTGGGCAAGTTGGAATTGTGGTAAAGTTTGAAAGAAAGCGAATTGACTTTTTAAAGCAACATTTTCACTACTGTCACTGTAGTAGTATCTTAAACTCACTAATATTATACATGAACCACATNTAAGATTAATAAAACAACAACTCTGCACATGCATCACATTTTTAGGTACATTTCTTTACTGTCACTGCACAACTGTGAGGTAACACTGCCTAATTTCATGTTTTATGGAGGAGCTAAACAAATGGCAACAAATTTTTCTTTCTCTTTCTCTTTCTAAACTTGTACATGGTTCTTAGGAATTCGACTTCAGGACAGTTTACCAACAATTGAAAACCTGGGCAAGTTGGAATTGTGGTAAAGTTTGAAAGAAAGCGAATTGACTTTTTAAAGCAACATTTTCACTACTGTCACTGTAGTAGTATCTTAAACTCACTAATATTATACATGAACCACATTGCTGATGTATTATCTTGTACCTCACAAAGCGGGCCCCGTAAGGCCTGAGAGGAGTAAAGGTTTATAAATTTGTTGTGCACACAGCATGTGTGCAGCATGCTGATGCACATGAGGATCACTAAGCAGAGTGTGATCTTGCATTGGTCATAAAATTAATATCTCTTTCTATTGGTTTGGGCTGTTGCCTAGCAACAAGGCAATGTGTAAAAACTTCTGGCCCTTAGCCTCTGCTTCCCGAGGCTCTACCATTGAGGCATTTCTAGAATATTAACTATTATTGTCACTGAAGAGCCTTCTTCAGGGAGTGTTGTTACAGTTTGTATTATACTGTATTGCTTTAAAGGTAGGTGAGAGCCTATAACATCAAAGGTTAAAGTAAAAGTGTGCTTGAAGCCAGTAAGAGCTTCTCTCATTTAGAATAGAATGGTGCACACTGCCGCCCCCTACTGGATCGGATGCTATTTTAATGTAGTGTTATCCCTGGCAGTATTACTTACCAATACCCAGTATTATAAACCGTGGGCCCAGTTGTTTGAACGCTGGTTAGCGCTTACCCAGGGTTAAATTTTCACCAAGGCTTCTTTTTCTTATCATCAAAAGCACTCTCTTGGATGATTTTCTATGTTTTTTTAGAGTATCCAATCATCAAATCGTAGGCAAAGAGAATTACACTGAATTTGTTTTTTAAGCTCTCATATCAGAGTTCAAATTTCATACTAACCTTGGGTTATCTTAACCCACCTTCGAACAACCTGGCCTAGGTGGACAGAGACTGTAATGTGAGAAAAGTTCCTTGTGTAAGGAATCAATGTAAGAGCAAAGCTTAAATCCTGGACCAAAATTTGGTCCAGGATTTAAGCTTTGCTCTAAATGATCTAAAGTTTGAAGACCTCTGAAGTGTTAACCACCAGTCAGAATACCATGTACTTCCTGTTTCCAAGGGGCTTGTCAATATTAATTATCAGTAGTTGCAACTTGACATGTTTGACTTACAGTCATCCAGAATTAGCAAAGTGTCTCCTTTGGCTGCAGCAGGGGGTTTACTGGGTGATTTTTCTGGCTTTGTAGCCTTAACAGGTGACTTAGTTGATTTTTTCACTGGCGGCTGAAAAACAAAGGCAAATAATCTATTATTTTGAAAATAAACTGGTAACCAAGTGGACTCAGTAATAAAGGAATCATATGCATTTGGAATCAAAAACCCTTTAAAACCGAAGATTTCAGGAGCCTTCATCAGGAAAAATGCCAAAATGACTCACAAAAGTCAAAGCTATGTGAGGAGAGGTTTGCATTAATATTTTTTTTGAAGTCTTTTCTTTAATGGTTAGTTAAAAACTTTGGTTTGTGGAAAATAAATGCCATTACAATAAATTACTGATTGCCTAAGACTCTAGTAATGTCTGTTATGCTAGTTTATTTAAACTTGCAAATAATAATGGTTTAATGACAGATTCTCAGCATGAATGCTACCAAGGTTCTAATAATGCCTACTATTCATATACAACTGCTTGAGATCTGCTGGTGGTTTTTTTTTTAAAAAAGGCTTTTTTACAAAAGAAGTTATAGACTGAAAAAAATAAGGCAGATATACGGGAAAATTAGGAGATACCTTTTCCTCTTCAGTCTCAGAGCTATCTGAGCTTTCTTCGCTGCTTTTCTCTGTCTCTGACTCATCAGATGACTTTTCTTCACTTTCACTTAAATCACTCTCTTCTTCACTTTCACCTCCTGAGACAAACAAATATATAAGATTAAATTTAAAAAACATAGATGAGAAACCTCTTCACAGGTTCTTACTGTCATCAGAGAAAGATTTGGGGGTCATATCACAAACATAAAAATTTTACATGAAACAGATACAACTAGCTACACAGTGGTCCAAAGTAAATGGAAAAAAGACCTCAATCTAGAACTTTTTGAAGATCTCTTAACAACATTATTTACAAAACATCTCTTCACACAGTCTTACCATCGCCAAATTTTTTTACAACACAGCTCTTCACAGAGTCTTACTATCACCAGAGAAAGATTTGGGGGTCATATCATAAACATAATTACTAAGTCCTGACACAAACACAACTAGCTACACAGTGGTCAAAAGTAAATGTAAGGAATAAAGGTCTCAATAAAGAACTTTTTGAACATCTCTTAACAATTATTTCCAACATATTATCTTCCTTTGTTGGCACTTTTATAGATCAGTGAAATGACATCATAAAATGGTCAAGTATCAAGTTGACTGCAAAGTTTTCTAGCAAATGCATGCACACGCTATAGGAGGAAAATTATTGAAAACTTGTGCGATCAGTTATTGTAAAATATTCATATATATAATTATGCTGTGGTTCAATTACATCCTTTGTTTAAATTTTATCTTCCTTTGTTTTTGGGTATGGTAATGTATGATAATGAGTTTGAAACAATGGGAGAAAAATTAAACCTAGGATGATTTTGAACCACAACATAAACAAGTAAGTACAAGAAGTATATGTATAGATTCAGATAATAAAAATAATATTTAAGTACCAGTTTTGGAGGATGCCTCTGATTCACTCTTGCTTTCCTTGTCCTTATCAGAATCTGACCCACTTCTGCTTTCACTTTCATCCTCGCTTTCACTATCAGATTCTGGGAAGCAAATAACTCAGTCAAAAATTTACTCTTACATCAAAAAGAACAAAACATCTTGTAGCACAAAAAGTAAACATTACGTCATTATTAATAGAACTTGGATTTTGCAATAGATCCTATCAAGTCTTTTAGGTTGCTTTCCATGAACTTAACTACTATCCCTCTTCCGCATAATGGTGAGTGATTCTGACTTGTCGTTGTATTAATGACACATGCACACTTAAAATAGAGAACTCAAAGAGCAACTAGTAAGTAATACCTGATTCAGATCCTGATTCTGACCCAGAGTCTGAGGAATAAAATGATGTTTTCTTTGCATTCTTTTTCTTGTTACCTGGTGTCCAAAATGATGGCACCTGGGAATGGCATAATAAATTCACCAATTACATCTTTACGCAGTAACTAAAAATACCAGGCAATCTACTCCTTGGAAAATGATGGCACCAGAAACTTTTTAAACATAGACATGGTATCTGCTCTTTTCAACCAGGGTAATTATTACAAAAGGAACCCCATGTTAATCTGGATAATTTTCTGGTCCCATTGCTGTCTACAGAGATTGGTTGAACAGTATAAAAAATTTCACATCACCATGGGTGGTTACCATTTACATCAACCACCCAGGTGGAAATCTTTTGCATAAACATAAAACTATAGAATTTGACATGGTGGGAGAACAACCTGCTACAAAGTTTGTCCAAATCAGCTGAACAGACTAAAAAGAGTAGAAAAATTGCATTGCCTCAAATCACAAACCACGCTTTTTAAAGCTGCTCAAACAGAATGGCCCAAACCATTTGATTTTCAAACAGCAATTTCAAGTTTTTCCATGTTAATGGTAAGTACCACTTGACTCCCCTTCATATTGTTCCCGTAGGTTACAGTTGGCAGGCAACTGATTATCTCACGCTAAAGTTGAGACTCACTTCAACATTTCTGACAGAAGGATCAGGGGCCACTTCTGGATACTGAGGCAATTCCTGATAACCGTTGGCTTTGAGGTTAATCATGTGTGACAGCGAGCCAACCTGGAAGCCTTGCCGTTCTGAAATTAAGGTTAAAATATCAGTTTTGAAATCATCTTGTGCCCAACTAGAATTCAAGCATCCAAACACATCAGGAGCTAAACCCTGGTAAGTGATTAAAACAAAGATTTAATTGGCTAGGTGGGACAGTTGCTAAAACATGCAGGAAATAATGTTTTTAAGGTGGAGGAAGGGCCATTATTAACCAGAGGTGAATGATGCAGTCAGAAGTCTGAGATTATGATGGAAGTAACAAAACGTGTAATCAAGGTGGACACAAATTCTGCCATCTTACGGCAAACCAACTTCACTGACAGACTATGCACAAACAGTTAATCACAGTTTAAAAAAGATGGATAAGTTAGGATACAATTTGATACAACTTTTTCGGCTTTAGACAATAAAGTGGAGCAGGAAATGAACACTAGTTTAATCATACCTTTAAAGACAGACTCTATAACAGGAGGGGGCTTTGACGCCAAAAAGATTTTCTTCACATATTTACTAAGATGACCACCCTATAAGAACAGAACATTCATTGTTACATTTCATTTCATTAGTATCCATAGGAGATTTAAAAACCTTTGAGAACATTAGCTTCTTAAGCTTACTACATCACTTGGAATAAGTAGCTGTCGCAGAAATCGCGCCCTGTCTCTGACATCATAACTCTGATCATACTTTGCAAGGTTCAGAACATATTGGCACAGAAGTTTGGTCTAAAATAAAAGAAGAAGCATGTAAGTTAAGAACACACCATAAACACCATTAATGGGCTGAAAAACATTGTGTTGTAATCATTTCAACTAGATTTAATCATTTGCTTGAAAAAAAAAAGTAAAATTCTAATCTTACTGATAGTATTAATAAGTATTTGCTAGTATCGCATTAATTGAAAGAGGCCGTTACAGCTAGCCCAATGGCAGAACATTACTCATGAAATAACTAGAAATCACGAGTATGTAATGTGACCAACCTGTTTGGGGTTTGTAATAAAGAGTTTTGCTCCTAAATTCAGAATTTGTAACTTCACTATATCCTCCTGTTTAAAACAAAAAAAAAACTAAAATCAATGCAAACTACCAACGTGGTAACTCATGTGTAACAATATCTGAACTGACTGCAATTAACTTACCTCAGTTCCAAATGTTTTTGCCATTTTCCTAAGGACATCAGGGGCTACCTTGGGTACTCTCTCAGAATATTCTCCTAATAACCATAGTATGCTTGCTCTAGCCATAGGAACCTGAAAAAATTTTACCCAAGTAAAGACAAAAATTAATATTATTACAAAAAATGAAAATGTCACTACACCCTGGCTTGTAACCAAAAAACAAAAATGCAAGGAAATACATTAAATTTGCCATAGACTTACAAAGAGTTTAGTTTTCTTTATAAAGATGGAATGAAAAATACGGCCTTAGAAAACCCTTAAGAAGAAATAGCATTGACAGTTACTGTTGTATTTCAACAGCATTAAGGATTCAAGGCCTAATAAGTTATTGTACTCAGTGAAGAAAAGAAACTTAGTACAGCTAATTGGTGTTGCTTCAAACTAAACCAGAATTTTTGTAGTGTCTGGATCAACTGATGGTTAATTCAGCTGTCCAAAGAAGTTATACCCATAAATATTTTACCTGGCCGTGAAAATTTATAATACTTTCTTGCCTTCCTCCTCAAAGCCCTGTTGATGATCCTATGAATACCTATTATTACATGAAAACAAGAGGTAATACACACCGTAATTGTATCCACAAGCCTTGCCATGTGTGTGATGATATCTGAGTTTCCCTTGGGCTGGAATAATAAGTACAGTAAAAGCAAATAAGAATGTACATGTAACTGAGTGTTCAGCAGGCCAACAGTATGGAAAAAAAAAGTATTTCATTTGAGTCCACGACAGACACAGTGGAATGTGAAAGCGGATCTATTAACTGAATCCAGCCGTTGCTGATCTCAACTCAACGTAAAGTAACTTTTTTGTGGCAGAATGAAACAGATACAAATGTGTCTGAAATAGAGAGTTTCTAAAATTTCTGAAATACACATTGTTTATATTGGGCCAATGGTGAGTTCATAGAAATCAAATATTTGCAGTAAACTTTCCAGATTAATATGTCAAATACGGTATTTGATTATTTCTACTGTTACTTACAACTGTGTATTATTTCAGGGCTGTCTGAGGGCTATTCCTAGCTTCTTTCATACAAAAATAAAGAAAAAAAAGGAACAAACTAGCTGTTTGATTTCCCATCTACTTGTTGTATTAACTCGGCAACTTGAAATCTTGGTGACAGCCCTGTCATTACTTCTCATGTTCCAGTTAGGTCATATCTTTTGTAAGTAAAATTAATTTTTAAGCAGAAAAGTTTTAGTTTTTAACCTTGAGCTGAAGTAGTTTCTTGATAACAACTACACTTTCTGCTACAACTACCTCTGTAGACAGAAGAAAGTCAAAATTAGCTACAGAGTGGTAATAAAAATAAGCAATTGACCACAATGTGTATAGCCAGTGACATACATTGTCAGTAGTATTTGACCCTGTGGTATTACTAATTGTCATTGATCAGGGAGAGATGAAAAGATCTAGGCAGTTGCTTCATGATTCTATCTCAAAATGCAGAGAATAACTGCATTCTATATCTTATTAAAAGGTAACAAGCTTTGCTTGCCTACTGGATGACCCTGGATGACAAAACAGTAACTCTGGGCTTTTTGACAGTACATCTGTTTTGTGCCTAGATAATAGGGAGGTTAAGGTCCAACAATGTGATGGCAACAAGAACGTTGCTTTAAAAGTCAATTTGCGTTCTTCAGTCTTTGTGGCGATTATTCCTACCCACTTACTTTGTCAATTGTAGGCAAACCCTCCTAAAGCTGAATTTCAAGAGAAAGCTCAGAAAGAGAAATAAAATTTTGTCGTTGCTTGTTTACATTCTCCATTAAACGCAAAATTGGGCATTTTCACGTCATAGTCGTGCAAAAACAGGAAAGAAATGTACAAAAGTGTGATGCATGTGCAAAGTTGTTGTTTTGCTCATTAAACCTATTGTTTTTATGACGTTTCCGTTGCTGGCCATGTCGTTGGATCTTAAAGTCCTTAGTACTGGAGTTAACCTGTGAATTGAATGTATCTTCTATAGTTTTGTTTGCACACAAAGTACTATACTTTCTCATCATGCAATTTTAGTTGCAGCATTCAATTTTTGACTGTAGTCTTACCATCTCTGTTAGAAAGAAGTCGCACCAGGCCAGCTAAGCATGTATCTGTAACCTCTGAAATATTAGATGCACAGCGTCCAATTGCTTGAATGGTTGATGCTACAAACTGTTTATCAGGACTGGAAATATAGCTCTGAAAAAAATTAAGGAAAAAACAAAATTAAGTAAATGTAAATAGCAATATTACTAACAAAGATAAAAATTATACATGTAATTTTAATAATAACAAACAGTATACGTTTCAAGAAAATACAATATTAAATAACAGCTGTTGACTTAAGGACCTGAAATTCTCTAAGTATAGTCCCAATACTTGTCTCTCCTGCAATATTAGTCATAATTTCAAGCTGAAAAGAAGACAGAAAAAGAATATTAAATTGACACAATGAATTGTTGTTATTTTGATACATCCTACATTACCACTACTTTAATTTATGGTTCAGATTTGTTGCAGTTGGGAATAAATCTTTGTTTCAGCTGTAAATTACAGTATATCATTCAGAAAGTTTCAAAAATGCAGGCTGTTAGCTGTTTTAAATGTGCATGTATAGGGAAGCCCATCTACACAAGGTTTGCTTTAGTGGGATTGATGTGGTGTTTATTTTAGAAGTATGGGCTTGTACCTTGAAGTGACTCTGTTCTAAAAAATTAAATACAATAATTATACTGACAGTTATTATCACTGCTAAACATTATGTTTGTTAAATCCAATGAATACATCTAAGCACCTTTAACAAACATATATGAGTTGGATCACTTGAATGAACAAAGAAGCCTTTGAGGTAGGGTTCAAACATTCCCTGCAAAATATAATAAACCAAAAATCAATGCTACTTACCCCTGAAAAATTTCAGGAAAAGAAAATGTTAGTAATAGTAGATTACCACATTGAGTGGGACAAAACAAACAGATCAGGTGTCCACTTCTCAAATGTCTTGAGAACATTAACTTTGGGTACAAGACAATAGAACTTATTATCACATGCGCTGAATTTTATTAGAATGATATACAGTAAATATTTGTCTGGGTTGTATTTAAGGAAAAAATGTATTTTACATTTCCGTAAACTATCATTACCTTTCTAGTGGATGACATTGTAGCAATATTGCTAAGTACAACAGTTTGCACTTCTCTAAAAAGGAAAATATAAAAAACACCAATAAGCATGAAAACACTTAAAACTAAGTTGCAAAATTAACAACATCAAAAAAATATCCCAACAATTTCATTTTAATATTGCTGTATTAAGAAAATAGGAAGTAAAGTTTTTAGCACATGTTATCCCACCTGTGACTTCTAAGAAGTCTGACCAGAGAGCGAGCTACGATGCCAACTTCACTTGTGGGTGCCAAGTGATGATAGACCCTTGCAACTGCCATAACAACCTGTTAATAAATAAACCTTTAAGTATCACAAACTGTCAATGATTTACCAAACCTGAGCTACAGATCTGGTATACTTATGGCGCTACCATCAGTCGGAACTAATTGGCCAGACCAGTCCAGTTGTTAAGAGAATTTCAGTGTCAATCAGAAAACTCCAGCCAGGTCAGTCTATTCTTAAACTGTGTGCACAGAAGTGATGGGTTTTTTGCGAAAACTCTTGAAAAAAGCTCATTTCATTTCCAAAATCACCAATCCAGCCTAGAAGTTCTGGCCTTTTGGAACTTGAGTCAACATACTTTGGGGGGTGCTATTCTTAAACTAAAGTCAAAAGCTCATATATAACAAAGCTTACCGCAGCATTCCTGCTTTGGAGAAGTGGTTTGCATGATCTCAATAGTAGACGGTGATCAGGATCCATAACGTAAGTCTTCTTTTTGGAAATCTTCACAGACCCATCATCATCATCATCATCATCATCTTCAGAATCATCAGAATGATCAGACTTTGGATAAAACTCATCTGCTTCAGGCTGCAATAGATTTTGTCACAAGAAATAGCAAGATTTATTTCAAGATCATGATAAGGGCATAACTAAAAGTGGTTAACATAGGAGGCAGCATGGCTGAGCCGTTTAAGAGCTTGACTTGTAATCCCAAGGCCTTGAGTTCAATTCCTTCTCTGACTGCTAGCTGGATTTGTTCTCGGCAGTCCCAAGTTGAAATCCTTGGCCACCCTTGTAAAATAGCCAACTGGTTCACCTCTGATCTTACCAGTTGGAATTCACAAACCATGTTAAGTTTCATTTGTTTCATTATCCCCGAAAAGCCCCATAAAGGGAAAGGATATAGCCTGTTTTTTTTCTTATGCCATTTTTTTTAATCAACTTTGTCAAGGCATTGAGTCATCGCCAGAAAAATAAAATAGAACTTCTACATGTAACTGTTCACCAAGGGAACAGTAACCAGGGTACTAACCTGAAGACTAACCCTTTAGAGAATTCCTCACCTCTTTATTTGGGTCAACAAACTGTGTTCGAGCATATCTCGTCAACATATGAATCACTGCTACCTGTCCCCATTCATCTATATCAATCAACAGGTTACATAATTTGCGGTAGTTCTTGTGTATTAAATCAATTCTATCTGGGCAAACATCTTCAAACGCCATCACAGCACTGCCTGCAACAAGCTAAACAAAAAGGGAATATCAATAAACAAGGGTGCTGCGATGATTTTTTAAAATATGAGTCAATGGTTTACACTGTAAATAAGACAGAAGAAATTGCCAATTTTAAGGAAGGCCTTGTCTCTTTAAAATGTTGTTGAAAATGCGACCACTAATTGCCAAAATACTCATTTCTATTTATCAAAAAGACAATCTATTCTTTACTTGCAGAAATTGATGATGTCCCTATAAAAACCCTGTTACTTGGAGAGTACATTTATCGTAAAAACCCAAGCCCACTAATTCAAACAAGACATGTCCCTATAATAATATTTGTGTAGCCTCATCACAGAACCTTGAAGCTTATTATTATTATTTATTATTAGTTGCCATAAACACTACACATTCAAAAATGCCTTTAAAACAAGAAGTGGTCAGAGTTAACTTCAACAAGTCATACACTGTGTCGGTTAAAAATAACAAAACTCTAGACTCCGGAAGTACAGGAAGACAGAACTGCCAATTCATAACTATTACCCTACAAAAAATGAGCAGGATGGTAACTTATAAACAATCAAAATTCTCTACCGTTGTCTTATCCTTCAGAAGCTTCTCTATAACTTCAATGAGATAATCTTTTTGCTCAGGATCCAGACTGGAAAAAAGAGGGAGACAACTTAAGAACAAAGTATAACTGTTGCTTTACTTTTCCACTGGAAATTTTATCAAATTGATCTTCTCTGTCTCACATTAAGCATGGTAATGAATTTAGAGAAAGGAATGTGAAGTTAAAAAGTTTTAAGCCCTAGTAAAAGTTGAACTACCGGTACTGAATAACAAACAAACATTAAAAATAATACCTGTGAAGCTTAGGGATAGCATGAGCTGCAGTTTTCCGCACATAAGGTGACATATCATTTACACCCTACAGACAAAAATTTAACACTTTGATATCAGTTTGCCCCATAAAAACACTTGATATGCAAGGTGCTGGGTTAGAACCAGATTTTACCCCTGAGAATTGGAACTCGTTATTAAACTCTTCTTATCCCCTTCTTCTTCAACCCTTACTCCAGTTTCAGTAAATCACAAAAATTATTCTTTTTCAGTGTGTTAAACATTTTTCTTAAAATTTTTATGCCTCTGAAACACTGCTTGAACTATGCAGTTGTCAACAAGTCCTGATCTTGTACAAAATGTGACTGCACTTGCCAAAACTAAGAACTTCTAATCATACAATGTAGAACTAGTGCCTACAGTTAGACCTCTCCAAAATTGGCCGCCTTGGGACAGAAGAAAGTGGTTGATGTCAAGAGGTTTAAATAAGAGTCATTGTATCGACTGTCCGCTTAAAAAGTCACCATTGTGGAGAGGTGGCCGTTAGTGGAGGTTTGACCGTATTTTGTAATTTATAATATTCATAAAAGACAAAAACAAACACTTGTCCTGTGAATGCTGTTTCAACTATTCTAGTAAATCTTCCACTCAACTACTAGTCGCTGGACCACTGATTAATAGTGTTAAGGTTCATTTTGTTCTTAGAATGTATTAGGCTATAAGAAAGGAAAGTTAAGTTATCTTCGCTAACCTCTTTAATTGCTAACATCATAATTGGTGCAATCACTGGAACCCTTATACTTGACAGCACTCGAAGCGCACTTCCCCGGATCAGCTGGTTAGGATCCTAGGAAAGAAGACAACAAAATTAATACTAAATCTTACAAGTTGCATACAAAGAGTATGTTACATAAAAAAACAAACCATAACTGAGTGAAACCGTAGCTTACAAAGAAGCAACAGTTGGTGACAAAATTGCTGAGACTGTCCAGCTCAAAAGGGGTAACTTCAGAGAACCAAACAATCCATGCCCCCCTCCACTTAAAGTTGGGTTGTTTGTTGTTTCCAACAGGTAGTTTGAAGAGTGGCACAACACTGCAGGAGTGGGGAGTGGGCAAGGGAAAGCTTTCTTTTTCCCCTTTTGAAGTCGGTGAAATGACATCTAATGAAGGGGCTTATGATTTGAAAACTAATCTAATTTAAGTTTTACATCAGAGGATCTTTCTCATCCTGATATGTGCCATGATATACTTATTTTAAATGAAGAGGAACATGGAATAAGGCTCTATCCTTTTGATTCACAAGAACATACAATGCAATTTGGAACAATCTAATAGTTTATCAGAAGTCACTGAGCGATTAACTTATTTCAGACACCCCTTTATAATCATAATGGTATAGACCGGTCATCACTGATCTAAACTCATTAAGAAACTGTGACTAACCTTCAAACCTTTCTGAAAAGTGCTGATAGACAGTAGGGCTAAATCCTGCTGTTCCTCAGCATATCTAACTAGATATAAGTACACCAGCTTCTTGATCTGTACAAGATAATACAGAAATTTCAGAATGGAACATTTGATCATTACTCATATAGAGGCATGCAGGGCAGTCACTGAGATTTCAAGTTGCCACATATAGTCAAACCTGCTGTGAGGGACCACCCAAAATTCAGAGATTTGGTTGTCTCTTACAGGAGGTGGTTGCTTAGCATACAAGAATCTAACCCTAAGAAAACTTTTCTAAGGAGCAATCAAAACAAATATATTTTTTGGAAGAGGATTTATCGTATGCAGTTTGAGTTTCTAAGTTCAGTAATACGTGTAGTTCCATGCCATCACTAAAAGTTCTCTGTATTATCTGAGTAGCTTAGTAACACAGCAAACACAGAGATTAGAACATTAGTAAAGTGGCGGTTTATACAAGAGGTTAAAAACAATGAAAAATTATAAAATTGTAACCTCAAAAAGTGGTCGTGGTCAATATTATTACAAGAGGTGATCGTTCATAAGAGGTCCAATTAAGGCTTTGACGGGGAAAATTTTGGGAGTTTAGGTACAACTGTAGGTGGTGGTTGCTTGCAAGAGATGGTCGGCCATGGAAGTTTTCAGGACTGTACTCAATTTGTACACAGGGAATTTAACAGCTGAGGAATACTTTTGGTTCTCTTTTCCATTTGTTTCTTGTGTAAGTAGCAAGGGGTCATGCTCATGGAAAAGGAAAATCTTCAGTGGCCAGCCCTAGGTGGTGGCCCTGTCATCCTCTGCTTAGTTTAAGTTGAATTGTGACATAATAATTATCTTATGCTTCAATTCTGAGAATTATATCAAAGGGCCAATATGATATCATTATGAACCAACACTTTCAATACTGTTCTAATTACATTGTAATACCTCAACATTCTTTGAAACGACATTCTTTACAATAGCTGCAAACAGGTCTGACATGTCTCTACCATCAGCCATCATCTATAAAATAGAAAAAATATATCTGAGGACTTTGATATATGTTGACTTACAGAGTCTGGTAGTGATTATAACTCAATGATCTGTTTGTTATTACCGAATAAATTTGTTGTTGTTGTATAGCTCAAAGAGCAACAAAAGCCAATTCTCCATTATTTGTTTCCCATGTTCAAAAAGTTTCCAGAAAATCCGATTGGAAAGTAAATGGAACAAGACTTGTTGGATCGTTTCAGTGGAAAATTCTCGCAAGCAATAATGGAACGTCTGAAAAGGTAGCCCGATTTTTTCAGGTCAGAATCTTCCAAATGGAAATTCATGTGCCATTTCTTGAAACTAAAGACACCTTTGATACCAGTTTCAGGCTTCTGCGGCCTTTTTAACTTGTGGGTTGTGCGTAGTGTAAGGAACGAGTTATCCTGGGCACTGCGACATGCTAATGTGTCACTCAGGTATAGACACTCTTGTAATTAGTTGGCTTGCACGAGAGCACCTGAGATTGACAATTCCCGAATGTCAACGTGATGCTGAGCATCTATTGTGCCCAGAACATTCAATGTTATGACTTTGTAGCTTACATAGGGTGATAAGTTGCCTTCACATGGACTTCGAATGTTTCAAATTAGCACTATGGCTGACTTAAAGACAGAATTTCATGAACTCTTGAAGCTTTTTGACTCGTCCAGAAGCTTTACATGACAAAGAGACGAGCAATTGCTCTTCTACTTCCCAAGTTCACAAGGAGTATATCAAGCCAGTAAATAACTTCAAGCTAACTGGAAAGTGACCTCAAAATGAGTAATCTCACGCTTTTGTTCTAAGCATTGACGAGAATGAGTTTTATTTGTCAAACTACAGGTATAATGAGCTCAGGAAACAAGTACTATTAGGTGTGGGATGGGGTCATCCTGGCCTGGGGCGTGTGATGGGGGAAACTACATATTGTTCAATTTCACGATAAGTGACCCTGATTAGTGCTGAAAATTAACAAAGATGAAAGATAAGATGACAAGCACGAGTTCCAAGAGCTTGTACCAAGATAAGTGTCAACCTACTCCTACTATCCGCTTCATAGCGTCAAGTTTTAGGTTATCCTTCGAGCTATCCAACATCGCTTTCAAGTCGTCATGCCTACAATCACAACACAGATTATAGTGAATTTTAAAAAATCGAAACACGTGACAACGATCGAGAATAACTTGACGCATTGAATCACCAGAAAATATCATGCAGAGTGGAAGGAAGTTACCTTTGAAAATCGCTAGAGAAAAATCCACCAGTGGTGGATTCTGATACATCAGGATCTCCCGTGGGTCTTTCTGCGTTATAAGACATGTTTAACAGTGTTTTCGCTGAAATATCAGCTGATTTTCGGACACTAGCAAACAAACATGGCTGCCTCTGCGGTCCTTCCCTCCTTGACCCCAGTCTTCTCTCCGGTAACCTAAAAGAATCATGGGAAGGTATGTAAGTAAACCCGCCATTTTTCAAGGACATGATCTGCAATGGCGGAGGCATTTACTTCTGAAGGTGGAGGGAAACACAATAAGGCAGGTAGATATATTTGTAATCGAAAGATAGAAACTACTGCAAATTATCCAACCATTTCACAGTTGTCCTGCAGTCAGTGTCAAATCTTTAAATCTGACATGAGTCTACTGAGCTCTGAAGCTTAGTCTCTGATCTGCAGTCTACAACTGTGATGCAGAAAACAGAAAATTTGTTACGAGATCGGATTTTTTCCGTGGATAATTTTGTAAAGAACACAGTAGATCATTTTATTTTTTACCGACAATTCCTTGATCAGGTTTCTCATTAGGTTTTATAATGTAGACAGCTAGGATGTTATGGTATGCGGCTTGGCAACTGAGTGCTGAAGGCAATTCGAAACTTTCACTCCCTTCCTTGACCCTTTTCCCCACAAAAGTAGAAAGCTCAGATCTCCTAGTTGCCGGTTTTTTAGCTGGCTGCTGGCACTTAATGAGAACCCTGCTTGATGGATGGCTGAGATTTTTGTTGTTAGCGCCTTTGTAAATTGCATCTGAAGAGGCCGGAAAGTTCTGATGCTCCCTGCTACCTTGTAGGGTTCCCTTAAGGTTTTGCAGGAGTCCTTATTTGGCCCTCTTGGAGCCCAGGATTAAGGATTCTAAAGAAATGCGAGTGCAGGATTCAAGATTCCATTTTGGGACAGGACCTATAATTTAGCGATATTATTTAGGGATAAGCAGCATCACTTTTGAATGACGCATGTCAACCAGAAATGAGTCTTTTTCTCTTTTAATATGCCTTGATGCTACCAAATTTGTATTACTAAGTGTCTTTACTCTTATAGAGATGAATTGCCCAAATATTTGTTTAAAATCAAGGCTGAGAGAATCACTTAAAATTGAAAAACGTCACTGCTTAAACTCCCTACTGTTGCCTTAAAGCCTCGAGAACCAAAAGTTCTGATTGTGAAAAATTTTGGAAAAATCAACTTTCCTTGATGGAATGTACGGGAATTTAGCTGAGCAAAACTTGTTTCTTGTACTGTGAGGTAAGTTAGCAATTTTAGGATGGAGAAAAGTCTTTGTCGAGATGGTGGGATTAAAGAACCCTATTTGGAAACCTCATAATAATTTATTGTACCGAACATGTGCTGAGTCAAAGTTTACAAAAAGCTAAGTTCAGCTCTTACTTGCATTAATATATTATTTTGACAGGTTTTTGCATGGCTTCAGGAAGTTTTTGGTGAAGACCCTATTCCCCAGTTTGAGATTAACAGTTTTACTTTAGGTGTCCTTGAACAACTAGCAATCAGAAACCAAGAGCAGAATAAACATGCAGTTCTCATAACCAAAGACTCCATTCAAAAGACTTCAGAATATGCTGCTGAGGGTAATAAACATTTTATTGTGGTGTAGTTGTTTGAAAGATGATTAACACAAATCTGGGTTTAGTTACCGCAACAACTCATAAAATAAAAAATAGTCTGTTTACGTCTGTTTATGCAAGTTGGCCTAGGCAGCCAAGTCTCTGGCAAGTAACGTTTGCTCGTGAGTGGCAAGGAAATCTTATTTTTGTTCACAACATTTATGGAGAGTATACTTGGTTTCATAGTTTGAGAAATGTTGAGCACCACACAATTTTATGTACAGTCTTGAAGCATGATAAATTGATAAGTCTTTAAAAAAATTAATTACTGAAACCAGAGGGCCTATAAGAGTTTTTTGTAACCTGGCATTGCCAAAAAGAAAATATTGCTGGTTATGTCCTCTCGACCTGTTGATGTTTATTGAAGACAATAGGGCTGTACCTTGAGGAAGTTACTTACTGATTATGCTTTGATGTTATCAAAAATTATTACAGTGCTATAGCCTGGAAAGTTCTTAAAGTCAAGTTGCCAAGTCCTCAATCTGAATTAATTAATTTTTATCACATGCTAATATCTAACTAAACTGCTTTTTAATATTTTGTCTTCTATAAGTTGAAAGGCTAAACAGGATAACAGAACAAGTAGGTTTACCAGTATCAACCATGTCTCAGTCTGGAAGAACAAGTTTAAAAACTCTTGCCTCTGTGGCTTTGCTACTTGGAACTAAAAACTGCTCCACATCAAGGTAAAGTAAATGCTCTCTATATAGGGACAACTCTTAAATACTGACGTTTTCCTCATTAAGGTCACTTTTTTAGTCTAAAAGATCACAAACTTCATACAGTTCTTATACCTAATGACTGGTAAAATATGGACAATTTTGTATTGTAAACACTCAGTTCTGTAACTAAGAAACGTTTATTTACAGCTAATTATACACAGAGAAGTAAACTAAAAGTTTTGGAAAAAAATTAATGTGAATGGTATTGAATTTTGTAGGAAAGCTGGAATAATAAAGACCATAAATGGAATAATAAATATCATAAGAGACTTGTTTTTTTGTTTGTCCTTTTTTAATCTCTCTCCATAAAATGCTGAAAATCCTGAATCCATGGAATCCAGATTCTGATTGAATCAACACTGAATGTGCACTTAAAACATTCACAATCCTTGATAAGATTCATGGGGAAAAAAAAGAATAAATTACTACAGTAGTTTTAAATTTGCATATCTAGATACACTGTACACTGTGGATTATCCAAAACTAATGCAAGGGGGAATTAGAGCCTAATACATGAGTTATATCTCAGTTAGTATGTTTTGCCTTGAATTATACATTATTATTTTCTTATCATTGTTTTAGTCTTTTGCTAGGGATTGCAGAACAAAGTCAAGCCTTATCAGCTACAGTTGATGCCAACACAGAAGAGAAACATCTTCTTTCCAGACTGTTAATCAAAACAAAGAAAGCACAAGCTAAGGTCTCTGACCTACAAAGGTATCTGTTAAATATATTTTAGTACTGAATCTTTCAAACAAAAGTTTATGAGAGCTTACTGGCATGGATGCTGAAAAAATGTTTGTGAATTTTTTTTAAACTTAGGTTACATGCAGGTTAACTTCTGGCAACTTCTATGAACCTCTAGAAAATTAATGATGCAACAGTCTTGTATCCCTGCTTTGCCCCTCATTTTTTATGACATTGTCGCCGGGTAGCTAAGACGTATGACTTTTTTCTTAACATCTCTAAAATGCCTTTCTTTAAAAATATGTTATTGAGCCACAGTGAAGTGCTCTTGGACCTTTTGCAAACCTCCTGGGTTACAAATCACACTGTACAATCTCTGTACTTCACACTGTATTTTCCAAAGGCACCTAATTTTCTTTGATTAAATCCTATTAAATTCATACTACTGCAGAAAATTGTCTACAAATGTATTGTTATATAACAACTTTTGCTAACATTGTTATTTTTACAGATCTCTTGATGGGCTTGAGGATCAAGTGGCCTTGCAGGCTCCTAAATTGCAAAGAAATGCTCAAGAAACAGAGTTTGTAAAATTGAAGTGCAAAGAATATGAGAAAATCAACAAGGAACTTGAGGTGAACTTGCTAAGGTCAAATCCTGCCAGGTTAACAAACAGAGTATATGGGTTGTCATGGTAACTAGCCCTGGGTTTGCATTAATCAGCCTTTGAACAGCTTGGCCCTGATATTTAAGTGCAAACAAAGTTGCGGCAAAAGTTGAACCTTACCTGATAGACAATCCCCCGTAATTTGAACACTTGTCTATTATGGACAGTTTCAAAAGTTAACAAACTTAAGTACTTCTGTAACACTGACGTCTCTCTGATGTGCACCCTCGGGTATGCCTCCTTGGTATCCATATTCATTTGTATAAGTAAATAGTTCACTGCAGATAGCTGAAACTATTGTTAACTGTTCCTGTTAAATCAAGTCATTTTGTTGGTGCTTTTTTAAGCCTTTGACGTGTGGCTTTAAATAAAGTTGCTTTAGTTATGAATTCACCGCAGAAATTAAAATAAACATTCAGGGAATGCTTTCGTTTTGAGATTTTGCCTTATAATGCAAGGGTAGTAATTTATCTCTAAATCATTTTTTTTCGTTCCATTTTTGCCACAGGGATATCAGAGTAAAGTTCCGCTGGATTCTTCAATATTCCATAACTCCCTTGTCAAAAAAGCAGAGGTACAACTTCAACAGTAATAGTGATAATAGCGTTGTGTGGTACTTTTAAATGTCGGCATTTGATATAAAAATTATACTAGCTAACAAGTTTTTTTGTACAAGAAGAAACAGCTTTTTTATCCATAGCGTCATAGCTTTTGGTAAAGAAAAAAAAGTAGCTCTGACAACACCTGTCAGTTGATAAGACAACTCACATATACATTTAAAATAATGATTTATTGTTATTAAAATGGTTAATCAGTGATAATATGTGATTTTATCAGTCTGTTGTAGACATGTTTGACCAGGATTAACAGGAGATGTTCTTTGGTTTCACAGGATGTGAGAGTTACTAAAGAAAAGATGAAGCCAATAAAAGCTAAGTTAGATGGTTACAACAGTCTTCCACCTGTAAGTACACTTTGAAAATAAGCCACTCACTACGCTCAGTGGTTTCTGTGGCTGCTTAAAAAATAAAATGCTTTTTAGTAATATTTTATTATCTGGAAACACTCAACATTTCTAATTTTTTCTCACTTTTAAGGATATTTATCAGGCAAAAGTCAAAGTTGAAGAAGCAAAAATGCAGCTGGTAAGTTTGTTGAAGTTGCATGTACCGTAAATTACACTTAAAATAAATAATTATCAGATGTTACAATTTTAGCACTATCGTGGATTGTTGTGTAAACTAACTATACTTTTTCTTCAAAACAATTTTATTATTCTTAGGAACTGTTGGAACGACAACTATCAATGAGTATAGACACTCTCCACTTGTAACTTTATGGGATGAACGTTTATTCACCTCTCAGGATATTATGTGCAAGATTCAGTCATCAACGTAATATACTACACATTGGCCAGTCAGTTGTTATGACAACTAAGACCATTTGTCACAAAATGACAGAAGGTCATGGAAAATACGGAGTGAAGAAGAGAATAGTGAAGTGAGTGATAACTAAAACCAACAAAAAAATCCAAGAAGATGTTATCTGTTTTGTCCTGCCCTTAATGTGGCATAGTTTATGGTATCTAAAAGATGCACCTGAAATTGGAAGTCATTACAGTTTAGAGTGATCTCGGCCACCTCTGCGGGGAGAGTCTATCCAAGTAAAAAGTAAATGAAGCCATTTAGAAAGTGATAATTTAAATTTTCTCTTTGGCATTCTAGACAGACTTGAAACAGACTGGAATGGCATTTCATGTAATAACTTCATTTATTTGGTGTCAGTTTTTAAGCTTTTCTCATAGTTTGTATTTTGAATATAATAATTTATTATTATAGTTTTGGTATTCAAATGTTTAGAAAAATGACTGTGAGACCATTGTAGAGTTGAAAAGGGACCCATGGTATCGGCATTGAAAATAAATAAAATTAGTATTATAATACTCTAATTTACAGCATTTTGTTGTCCTTTGCTTCTTAATTATGTTCTTTGTGCCATGTCATTTTGGAACTTTGCATCATCCTCCTCCACCATGGCTGGCAAATCCAGCCACCCCACCAACAGAAAAAAATTGGTGCTTGTTGAACAGAAAAGATGGCAAAAGGAGGAAAAGCAGCTGTTAAAAAGCCCTTGCAAAAACAAAAAACACTCATTGCGACCTGCAAACAGATTACTTTCCTAACACTCCACTTTTGCTTCTTAAATAATCCCATGGTATTGCACATTATTTTATTAATTTGACAGTGACCACAAGTTCCTCCATATTATTGTTATAGAAACCGTTTATCAAATGAGAAAAAGTCTTCAAATAGTACAGATAAGATTGTCATCAGTAAAAAGTATTTACACATCACAATATGCTACAAAGTTATAATGACACTTTAAAAAACAATTAATTAAGACTTCCAAATCCTAAAAATACTTTTAGACCTTTCCAAACAGTGTATACTGTGCAGGGTCCAGTTGTTCAAACGTTGGATAGCACTATCCCCCGGATAAATCACTGTCCAGTGGATAAGTATGAGGGAAATCAATAATTGCATTATCTAGACTGGATAGAGATATCCAGTGGATAATGTTACCACCTTTCAAACAACTGGGCCCTGCTCAGCATTTTTATAAAATTCATTAAAAGTAAAACTACTTTTAAAAGATATAAATAATTCATACATCATAAATAACCCTTAACACAGCTATCAAGACAATAAATATTGAAATGCTTTTAGAGTCCTGGCCCTGGTTGTTCAAAAGCTGAATAAAGCACTTGTCATTAAGTAAATCTCCTTTCCAGCAGATTGTTTTTCCAGTAATTGACACCCAAATTGCATTATCCACTGGGGAAATATCACTATCCACTTTTTGAACAACTAGGGCCAGGTTACAATCAGGTGTAACTGTTGAGGATTTTGTGCATCCAAAAGAGAACATGTCCTTAGCCTTAACCCAACAGCCTATGGGACTCTGGTCCTATACAACAACATGACGGGGTGCATTGGACAACACATAATCATTAATATTGTACTCCCTGGTGGTTTTGAGCCATTAGTATAAATAGTCAAAAAGGATTTTTGTATTTAAGAACTTCCAAAAAGGGTTAATCCTTATTTTTAAGCTGAAAAGCTTATGTTGTCATAGGAATAAAAGATTGTTTTCCCTTAAAATACACCAAAACTCGTTTAGATTATTTTGTCATTTGCTCCTGGCAGCTTGACCAATCAGATAACTGTTTGGATTGTTTTTTTTTTGTTTTTTTTTTCACGCAAAATCATTCATAGGTTGTAGGGTAATCACTTTCTCCTTACATGTATGCATAGAAAAGAATAGACTCAATAGCTGACTATTTTCACAATAGCAGCAGTTTATCTCCACGACCAGACTACTTCAGGATTCTTTTTGGCAACTGAGGGCTGTTTTTGTTTGGATTCCCCCTGGGATAAGTAATTTTTAATAAAAAGGGGATTTCAGTAGTTTTGGTAAAATAATGCCATATCAAAAATGTCTAATTAGAAAACAAATGACCGAGGCCTTTGTTTTGAACCTATCTTTTTCTCTTTGTTTGTCTTTGATGTTTGCTTTACTTTCTTAGCTTCGTTTGCCTGCCATCTCTTTTGACACTGTTTCTCATGGATAGATATTGATGCTGAACCATATTCACGGCCACAAAGATAGCAGACAACCAAAGCTGGCTTGCTTTGTGTCAAGATTTTGTTTTCCTTTACTTCATCTGTATTACTACATTCTGAATTACGATGAGGTAATGTCTCTGGTGTTAGCAGATCTCCATGACTACCACTTCTCTGAGACAATGTTGTTTCTTTGTTGTTATTTTCTTCAACATGGTCAATCTTTATTGTAACAGGGAGATGAACAGAATGTCGTTTCTTTGATTCCTTTTCTTTCTGTGATTTCTCCGCAGCTTCCAACTTCTTCCGTGCCTCCCATTTTTTCAGGCACTGCTTTTCATGGATTGGCAAGGAGTGTGTCGTAAACTGTTTCCCACAGAGATAACAAAGTATCATTCTTGATATCTGGTGAACAGCTTTGGGTGATCTTGGTTTATGTTCACTCCTGTCCAACAGATTCTCACATGAAGCAGAGCGAGATTTCAGTTCTTTTGCTGTTGGTAATCCACTGGCTAAAGCAGTGTTTGGCCGGCGGTTTCGAGGAGATGTACTTTCATGACTTCTCAGAGATGAAACTGACCTTGCCTTGCTTAGCGTCGCTGTTGTCTGAAGGCCACGGCCACTTGGGCTACGAGAACGTTTAGGATTGGCAAGTCGCCATTTCTTGAGGCACTGTGGTTCATGGATTTTCAAGGACTTTGATCCATACTCCCTTCCACATATATAACATACTGTTAAGATGGGGTGACTAGAAGAGGACGACCTTGTGTCAGATAAAGAGCGCCTTTCTTTCTTGGTCTCATATGGGGTTTCCTGAGAGTCAGATGAACCTGTTAAAGACTCTAATGACCCTTCCCTCTTAGAAAGACAAGAAATAGAATGATTGCCATTTACAGTCACCCTCTCGGGCGTTGGACAAGTCTCAACAGTATAGGTTGCTTCACTGCACCTGTCAATGTCTTCATCATCAGACATGTTTTGCTCTGCAGAGGAATGTGACTGGACATCTGCCATTTCTAATGATACATTCTTTTCAGAAGATGAGTCTGAGGAATCCCCTTGAATTGTAACAGTTCCTGGTCTTATCAGCAGTTTGCCGGTGGCTGGTGATTGTGAACGTTCTTTGAGTAACTTTTGTCCCTGTTCAATATTTTTTAGTGTTACAGCACTGCCTCTTTTCTGTGATGTTATGCTTGGCTTGAGAGCTGACCCCCTTATGTCATCCAAACTCAAACTCTGTTGTTTATCAATGGTGGGAACATCGGGCAGAACTCTTCTTTTCCGTGGTTCATGTGAGAATTTTCTTCTCGGTTGTTGCTTAGCATCTTCTTTTTCCTTTTGTTTAGCCATTTCCCACCTCTTCGCACACTGGCGCTCATGAACATTAATGGAGTGTGCACTAAACTCTCTCCCGCAAATATAGCACAAGACTGTCTTCGGTTTTGGCATGATTGGGTTCTTTCGTGATCACAGCAATTTTCAGATCTGTGAAAAAGATAATATTCCCAATATTGCTGTGTTTTCCTACACTCACTTCTCGGACATACATAATTACTACTAACGTAATACATTAGGCAATATCACTGTTCCGCCTCTCAAAAGTTTTATCTTACGTGTCATTAAACTGAAAATGTTAACGCTATATTCTTATCAATTCCGTGGAGAACAAACAACTTTGTCTTATTACCATCCCGCTTTGTTGAGTAATCAAACCCAAGAAACACAAACAATTAAAATATTTATTATGTCCCTCTAGAATTTCAATCAGAGGGAAAAAAGGTTTCTGAACGACAACCTCTTCAGTCACAACACCTCCGACATCTAAATTGAACGTTTTTCCCTGTTCTTAAGTGGAAACAACAAATATTTGCCACGCGAAACAAACACTAGAGATGAAATCATTGTCAAGATAATGGCCTTTTCCCTTACACATATTACGCTTGGTCATGGAATAGAGGATAAATTTTAATTTTTTAACGAAGAGAGCGTCTGTAATCACAGCCACAATTTCTGCCGGCTTGAAGGACACTTCCTGAGAATTCATCGAATAAATTAAATTAAAGGTTTTTATACTTACTCTCCAGCTGCCCTCGACCACCAGAAGACGATTCAATGGCGATTTCTTCGATGCAAGGACGCTAGAAATTATCCTGGAGGAAAAATGTGTGTTTTGCTGGCGCACGGGGAGAGTTTGAAGCGAATCCGCAGCTGCCCTATCACCTGACCTGGTTTATAAAAGGAAATTGCCGACTGGCTGTGTCCTCAGGCGACGCGAATCCGCGCGTATGAGGTCACGACGGAAAATTTTTCTTCAAAAACTACTACGTAGCGTATTTTTCTAGCTTCAATATCTCAGCGCTTCTAGACGTAAAATAAAAGGGTTGGTTTCCTGGATACGTAAATTCTCTCCAAGCAGGTGCGCTGCTACGGTAACATGAAAGATCAAAAATATAAATGAAATTTTACTTGTTTGTGAAAGTTACTCATGTGTAAACAAAAAATTGCGACCGGAAGTGAAGATGAACCCTAAAATAGCATTAGCTCCCAAGCCCTCACTTCCGTTACTTCTAAGATGGCGGATTCCAATTGCAATGACGGTGTCAATGACAGTCCCTCGAAAGTGAAGACAAAAGCTTGCAGATTCTTTCACACTAAGAGGGGTTGCAAGTTTGGATATGAATGCCAATTTTTACATTCTGCAAAGACTTCAAGTCAATCAGGAAATGTTGTAAACGAGGGTGATGAATTTGTTACAGAAAATGAAGTCAAGAATTTTGAACCTGATATTAACGATGACAGTGAACAAAGGAATGAACGTTTGGGTGAAGATAAAGAAATGAAAAAACATGAAGATTCGTCTCAAGATAGAAAAGATGTTGCTTGTAAGTTCTTTCAGAGAAAAAGAGGTTGCATGAGAGGTTCAAACTGTCCATTCGTGCACGTGTTAGTTGATGGGCAAACGAATAAATCAGCTTCTGATGAAAATGTAAAGAGTACGAGGTCAAGGACGAAAAACACGAGTAAAAGAAAAAAACTTGCTAGTCCATCAAGTGATAAAAAACAGGATGAAAGCAAGCTTACTAAGTCGTCCTGTCTACAACTAGCAAAAGGTGATCAAAAACCAATCGAGCAAGGTGACCTTCCTGTGCAAAAAGAGAATGCAGACAATACAAGAGCTTCTCAGGGATCTGGAGTCACAGTGTTGACTAGCAATAAATCCAAAAAACATGTAGAAACTAGAACTGAAGGTATGCACAGTATAAAGTGCAATACAGCTGGTGTAAACACTGGTGCACATTGTAACGAGGCAGTTAAAGGCAGTGGTAACAATGTTGTCAACCATGTAAAGAGCAAAAGACAACCTGAGATCATTGAAAAGGGCAAAAGAATGGAAAGCAAAGAAAATAACATGAGGGGGCCATTCAATGAAACAAACAGGGCAGTTTTTGGAACCGAAAGTACAACAGGCATCCCACCCCTCCACCAGGACACTTCAATCAGAGGTTCAGTAAGTGAGCATGGGGGTTCTGCGCTCAAAAATGGACGTGAAATAAAACGTGAACAATGTGAAAAAGGTTTACCACTATCACAAAAGAACAGTGCGACTACTAGTGCAGTAACAAGAAAAAGAAGTCCATTGCAAAACAAAGAATATGAAAGACCTAGAGACAGAAACCAAACTCAAAATAAGGACAACTGTGCATCAAATTTTAGGGGTTCTTACACTCTTGCAGATGCAATGCTAAGTGAACCTAAAAAGCTTAGAGCAACTGAGATTCAGCAGCTGAAAAGACGTTTTGGAGGCAAGGGTGGCTTCATTGAAATGAAAGAAAACTCCTTTTACAGGATCAAGTTTAAACCTACTGATCCTGACTGGGTAAGTTCAATAATAAATTATTAATATGTACTCCTAAAGCTTTTAGGGGTAGCAAATCTGGAGAATCCAGGTATTAGTGGAGAGGGGTTAGGATGAATGTCCCCCCAGAGGCGGACCACCATATGGGAATTCAGGGATGTTATGAATATGTTACAGGTCAAATTTGATTTCAGGTTAATTTTGATTTACGTACTATTTTTTTTGTCACCAGCAATTTAAAATTGAAGCAATTTACGTGACTGTGTGCTTTCCAGATGATTATCCATTACATGTGAGTATTTTCAGTGTTTTACTGCAAAGTGTAAAAGTACCAGCAGGGAGAGGGAGTCCCGGGAGGGGCACTCCCATACATTACCTATACGGGTATGTGCCGCCCAACGGGGTCGTGATTTTGAAGCTCCTGATTTAGAACGGAGTATCCATTTCCAAGGCGTTTTCTAGAACGGGGTATAAGAAATTGTGGATCAAGGCTTTATCTTCTGCTTAAAATTGTTGCTGATTATGAAAGGGCATTTATTTGATGTATAAGTTGAACAAATAAAGAAATATCTTTTTAAAAAAACAGGGCTATTTCAATTTACAAACTTTCTAGAACGGAGTTTAAAAAATTGGCCCATTTCTAGAACGGGGTATCAGTTTTAGGGCGAACTCGAGAACGGGGTATAAAAAATTGGCCCATTTTTAGAACCAGGTGTCAATTTCAGGGGAAATTTTTTTTAGAACGGGGTGCCAATTTGGAGTCCCAGGCGGCACATATCTACCCAAAAAATACCCAAGTGCCCCCCCCCCCCCATAGCATCTCTGCAAAATTATCTGGTTACTGCACTGTTTGCAGTCTGGTTACTGTAATGTTTAGGTTTCTGGAAAACTGCCCACCTACCCCTCCCCTGAACCAACATTTTGCACTAAGAGAGAAGTAAGGGTTAATGTTGAGTTAGGGTAGGGGTAAGTGGGCAGTTTTCCAGAAACTTAAATATTATTGATCTGTAGTTTCTGTGGTACATTTTTGACCGCAAGGACGTATGTTAATTTTTCTTACCAGATGTTTGATGTTGCTTTGTCCAAGGAACAAGACCTTTCTGAAGATATCATCAAGTAATCTGCAGTATTTGTTTTTTCATTTTTTTGCTTATTGAATTTGTATACAGTCGTACCTCCATGTGCGACCTCCTCTCATAAGCGACCAACCTCCCATAAGTGATCACCCATCCAAAGCGCAAACATTTTTCCAGTCAAAACCTTATCGTTGGAAACTCTCATAAAAGACGTCCTCTTGAAAATGACTGGGACCACTTTTTAAGTGAAATTTTGATAATTTTCCATTATATGAAACCTCTGATCTCTGAGTTCCATGTTTGTACTACACTACTCAGAGTATAGCATGAATTTTTAGTAACACCATGGAACTATTTACAAATTCAATACAATGCTTTCTTCTCTACCTCCCGTCAGAGACCACTAAATTTTGGTATTTTGGGTGGTAATGCTTACAGGAGGTTACACTGTATGTACATGTTGAGCTTCAATTTCCCTTTTTCTACCAATGACTTTCTGACTGTTTTACTTCTTTGAAGCTTTGTAAATGAAAGACTAAAGCAATGGACATTAGAGCAAGAACACATGGCAAAAAGTCAAGGATTTCTGAAGCTATTCTTTCGCCCCTTTCTTCACTGGCTTGACAAGAATTTAGTTTCTTTCTTTGTTGATGGTGGAATTCAGGTAAAGATAAGAAAGCTATAACAAGATGTATATTTATGCAAAAAAATTGCTCAAAACAATTTGCATAACATTTGCACAATCTCTTGGCATGGATACCTTGTATGGGTTAGGTTTGTTGTTAGTTTTCTCCCATTTTCTCTGGGTACTACAGTTGTCCCCTCCCCTCAAAATCCACAAGCTCCAAATTCCAGTTCGATCTGGATTGCATGGACATGTTTAACAAAGTTTCTAAGAACTCCTAAGAGTTTTGTGGGTAAACAAGTATTATTACAGTTTACAGTAATTAACAATTTTACAGACAGCTGGTTAAATTAGAAGTGGACAGTGTTTTCCACTGGATACAGAAATCTCTGACAAGTGGTTAGTGTAATAATTCATTTTTACTCACAGATAGGAGCAAAGTATGTTTCTAACATCTGTGGATTTAACAACAAAGCCTTTGAAGTACAATCTAACAGTCCAATGTTAGAAGGTCAGAATACATTCACTGGTTGTGCACCATGTGAAGAATATATAGATGACATACCAGCACAGATTAAAACAATATCAGATATAAGTGAAGGACTTGACATCCCACATAATGATACAGAACCTCCTCAAAGTAATGAGGATATTGATCATAAGAAGGAGATCATGGATATGGAGACCACAAGTTCTCGAAACAGCCAAGAATGCTTGGAGAATGAGCAAGTAGCTCAATCATCTCAATCAGACATTCATGGTAGTGATTCTGCCACCTCAAATACTGCTGAGAGGGGAACTCAAATTCAGTTCAAGGGCCTTAATCTGGAGGAAAGCATCAGCTCCATTCAAGGAAACAAAGTAGTCATAACATTTGAGTGTAAAAGGTGCCGGCAGAGGATTGATCTCCACCTCTCTCCGTCAGGGTAGGTAGCATATAATTTTGTCTTATTAGTAGATTAGGAATTTCTGTGACAAATGTTATTCTTGTGGTCAGTTACAATATTCTCTTGAGAACACATAACAATTTTTTTATTAAGTAACCAAATCTCCTTTTTTACTCTTTGCTTTGAGTCTTAGAAACAGTTGGTTTTAGTAACTATTATTCTTTACTGTGCCACTGTTTAGCCATTGTACTTGCTTTAGAGGGGTACTATTGTGTATAACTCCATCTACACATCAAAATGTGGTAAATGGTCAAGGTTGATTTTGTACTATTGTACATGTAGTATCTTGCTAGCCTGATTTTCAGACAGACTGAATTAGCTAATTGAAATTCAAAGTTGACATATGGCAAATTATAGTAAAATGCTAAAAAATATCTACGTGTCACAACTGTTCATCAGTAGGATGCCTTAAATGTGGACAATTCCACAATTGGTTTTGGCTCCGTTAATGAGAGTAGTAGGCAGTGACCTTGGACCACCAAAAATCAAGGGCATTTTATAAATTACAAGTTTTATATTACAGATGTACTGTGAAACAATGCACCAGGTGTGCCTCAGTGTTTGCAGCAACCTACAGACCAGCTATCATTCATCAATTTTCTTCTATTTTAGGATACCTTGATCTTGACAGGTAAGCGATTGTCAGTGAAACAGCTTGTTATGGCTTGTGTAAGTTACATGTATTCTCTTGGCTGGTGTTCAGTACAATAATTTATTATCTGACCGTGTACTGTGCGGTTGATATTAATATTTCACAGCTGTGTGCCATTTGATGTGGTTCTACCAGAAAGTGAATTGATGCTGGGTTGCTTTCAATGCTCTAAAGAAACATCAGTGAAGGTAATTATTAGCGATCAATTCTTGAAAAATTTGGACATTCAAGACCA